CTGTAGGACTTAGAGAAAATCCTAAGGTCGAAAACTCCAACGTGTAGAATCAGCTGCCACAGCCTTTCAACTTAGACGTTAAGATAAACGAAAATGAACCTGGTGACAATATATATCATTTGACTGTAGACCGGCTGGACTTTACCTTTGCCCGATACTCCTGTTAGATGCCTTGATTACTCCGTCGTGCTTATTGCTAGGTTTCTGATTGTTATACATTGACATTTTTAGAATATTTTTTTTAACTGTTAATGTTGTTATTGCAGATAGAACATATTATCAAATGCCGATTGAGAGGAAGCATTTCCAGCGATAGCTCTGAACTTTATCATTAAAATACGATCACAATCATATATGAAAGATAAGGTTCATGAAAAGATGATTATGTGGATGAATGCTAGAGTTTAAGTAATTTACTAATGGTCATTTATTGATTATGTTTATTTATTTTTGCTACTAATAATGTCATATTTATAGGAAGGATTTTCTATCAACCCGTTTACTCATAAAGCACGTATCTATCGCCGTCAATTTCATTGACGTGAAAATATCAATCCTTCCATTTTGACTTCAAATATTCTTAACAGATTTGTCCTCAACTTACAAGGAATCATTTAAGATAATTATTAATAAAAGATTTAACCCGTCATGATTGGATCAATTTCCAAAAAAAAGAAACCAATTCAGTGATTTTTCATAACCTTTTTTTTGCTAATAATGGGAAGTTTGCACTAAAAGAGTGTACTTGAATAACTTTATGATTTCATGTCAACTTGCAACTTGTAAATTAAAAAAAATCCACAAAAGTTAAATTTATGTTTATTTTATTACATTACATATTAATATGATATTTTTCTAACTTTAGGTTAAATCCTCTAAACCAAAGAAATTAAATATTTTTTTATCTTAAATATATGTAATGAGAAATACATAATGCAAAATATGTAATGCGAAAATATTTAATGCAGAAATATGTAATGCATAACTTACATTTATAAAAAGGTTGTTTTTTCAAGTTCCTCATGTGTAAACATTATGAAAAAGTACTCACGTTCAGAAGCTATTAAGATATCATCTTGTTAAAATTTTTAATTTTCACATGTGAAGATACTTTATTATATGTAATTCTTATCATCTATGAAAAGAATGGCAGAGGCTTTCAAAAAAGAACAAATTACCATTAATTTGTAAAATAAGTACATAATAACAACAAGTAAATACTAACTGTTTATGCGAACATTTTATTACAAATGCTTATAATGCTTCTTCAATAATTTTTCCAGTTGTCAAAGTCCATTTACATTCTTGTAGAACTTTTTTATATATAGCCATAAATTGTTGATATGCAAATGAATTACGTTATCAAGAGTGTTATTCTCAACATCCACGTTTTCTTTATCAGATTTGAAAAAGGCAAGAAGATAATTGTTTTGGGATTATTGTAAGTATTTAGTGCTAACCTTCTTGATCCTTGCAGGAAAATTAAAGTGCTATTACGTTTATCACCCCTCTTTGTATGGTAAGTGCAGTTGTTTCCCATAAAATTAACCTGATTCATCAAAGTATGAAGGTTTTCTTATTGTAAGTACTTTGAATTTGACATTAATACTTAATTATAAAATGTTTCTTTCGAGAAAATATATATTAATAAAAGTAGAAATTGATACTGAAATATTTTTTACATTACATGTAGTCTTTTAATGATCATTTCTTGCCAAAAGATACGAAAGCCATATTTTGTACGTTTCAGGATCAACTTGTTAAATAGAGTAGATAATTAACATATAAATTTCATTGTTCCACCAATCCAATAAATCAAACTGGAATAGTTCGCAAAAGTAAGACAAGATAACTTCTAATACTCCAAAAGCAGGTAACACCTATCAAGAAGACTCTTTCTGGCGAACTAAACAGACAAAATACCTTCCTTTTCATATCATCAGCTGACTCTATACTCATATCTTTTACAGTACCATCAGTTACGAAATCTATGTACGACTAAAGACTGGGATCATGTTCGTCCAAATAATCTACAAGGGCTAAAAACAATGTGATTAAATTAAAATTCTTTTTTAATATTTATTACTATGTGATCAGAATACATTTCAGTATAGAACAAAAAGTTAATGTGTAATAAATATGATCGGTAAAAAGATTGGTATAAAGATTGGTATAACTTATTATTTACAAAGTCCCATTAATAAGAAGTTTATAATATCTAACCTAAAAATGATTTAAATTTCAGATGAGTTCACATGATTTTTTTGTGATGTTAAAATTACGCGAAAATTATTATTCGACGACGAGAATTATTTGCAAATTTTAAATAATTCTATTTATATAAATCCATGATTTTTTGCTAATTACTTAATTATATTAAGCTAAAGATCTTTATGATCTTAATCTTATATTTAACACAACCATAATTTGCATACATAAGATAAAAAGAGGGATGGTATTTCTATAGTTATTATTATTTTAATCTTTTCATGATATATTTGTATTTCTGTACTTCTTCAATATGGATGAATAAGATAGAGTCATACAACATCATAACGAATGTGAAAGCTGTGGCTAAAATCGATTTTTTTGAGAGTTAAGAGGTTTTATCTCACCTAAAACTTTAACAGTTTATGAAGTTAGAGAATAACCTTTGAAATGAGTGAAAATATCTGGGACCTTTCCCTCAAGATACTTTGTCATGTGAGAATCAACAGCTTTAACAGGTCTAATATTATATAGTTGTGGTAATATCTTTTCTGTAAAGTATTTCTGATATGCATCTTCTTTGTCAGCTATCAGTGCAGACATATGGAATGAAAGTGGGTGTTCTGCTAAAGCAAACCATAACGTAATGTGTATTGGAATGTATGATTTTCACAAGAAAAAGAGGCTGTAAGTAGTAGTTACTTCCAAAATAACTTTAACATGATGCCTTTTATTTCTTTCTTGTTCATATGCTAATTTCATTTCAGCCACTTTACGTTTTATTTTTTCAAATTCAACTGTAAACGCTTTAAAATAAAGAAAGATATTATCATGTTTACTCTGCTCTATATACACACTACTCTACATTTCTAATGTCTGAGTCACAAATTTGTTACCTGCTTTCAGTTCTAAGAGAGACTTTAGATATTGAACCTTCTTATTATTGTTCTCATAAGTTAGAAGAATAGCAATTGCTTCTGCTTTATGAGTAGGATTTTTGATAAAATATCCATGTAGAGCATTTTTTCATCTTTTGTGAGGACAAGATGCAAATTTTCAAGTACAGTTCTATAACTAAACAAGCATTTGATCTAATCAGAGTTAGCAATAAACTATTTATTGAGATAGCATGGTTAAAAATCTGATTATTAATTCGATTTACATGTTGATCAACATTAATTAATCAATTAAATTGCAAATTGATGTAAAACACAAACTTCAGTTTAAAAAAAATATAATATTAAAAAAAATTTTTTTCGTTATAAAACTGTACTAATTAATACTCTTTATTAATCTGATGTACAATTTTCAATAAATTCTATTATAATTTTATAAGTAATTGTGAGAATAAATTATAATTCATAGATAAGTTAATGTATTAGATATCTTTTTCTTTAATGTCATATTAATTTTAGCTTACTTACTTATATTTTGATTTTCTTCATTCTCCAATTCATCATTATTACTTTGATTTTCACTACAGAATCTGTCTATTTTTTAATATTTTTATCATTTGTAATCATTGATTATATAATTATAATAATTTATCAATTGAATTAAAAAGATATTTAAAATAATATGGATATCTTAAACCTAAAAGTAAAAATATGTTTCATGATATCCATGTCTATAAATTAATACTATACCATTATTTTATAACAAATCTGAATATTCTAAATAATTACATAATTTATTAGCTTTTGGCTATTTTTTTGAATGATATTTTAATAGTAAAGCTTATAAGAAAATTATAATTAAATACCAGAAAAATAATCACAAATAGAACATTAATAAATCAGATACTAATCAGATATCTATAGGTTAACCTATTTATTTCTGATAAGATATCAATTAATAACTTTTTAAATTATAGATGAATAACTTATTAATGTAAATTTATGGCTTAAATAGGAAATTATTAAATCATCAATTGGGTTGTGTCAACTGGTATATAATTAGAATTAAATAAGATTAATTGATTTGATATTTTTTTAAAATATTTATTATACTGATTGATGTAAATTTATAAATTAAACAAATGTTTAAGCTATATAAATTTAATCAATTTAAAATTATTTAATATTAATTGGCATATACCTGATTGAATTTAATTACTATATTTGCTTAATATAGTACTTCAGTCAATAAAATCTAATTAATATAAATTTATTAAATTTACTATTTCACAAAATATTATATATAATACTTATTATTTAATAAGTACTAAAATATAAATATTATTCTTATTTAATGCTAAATACAAAAAAAAAACTAAAATACAAATATTTTTATTTAATACTAAATATATAATATTTTCGCATTAAATTGAATATTAGATTGAATATTAGATTAATTACTAGATTGCTAATTTTGGCTATTCTTATTATTTTCTTGATTAGTAGTTACCAAAAGATTGATAAAAATATTTACTCTTTTTTAGCATACTTTTTTAATGACTTTTTTCTTTAATCTATTATATCTAGTAAGTGTTTAATCAAAAGCATTGACAAAGCTTGTAACTTTAAAAGTTTTACAAATAACTTATTAATATATGTTCATAAAAATATTTATACCTAAAAAAGTAATATAATTGCTGATTCAATAATTATTTACTTACTATTAATAAGCGCTATTAAAGATTTCTTATTAATATTTTCTTTTACTGGTTGAGAATTCTTTGTCAGTTTTACTTTTCTTTATTAAATAATATTTGTTATTACTTTTAAAAGAATCTATTTTATCATTATCAATTTTTTTGACTAAAGAATCACAATTTTCAAGTTATTTAATTATACCAACATACCAATATCTTTTTTAAATATTAATAAGATAAAATATATTAGTAACAAATAAATAAAATCAGTATTAATCAATTGATTACTGACTTTATTTTAATAAAAGTTACTATGTTTCTATCTTGCATTTTAATCTTGAACATCTTAGCCTTTAGTTTTTATTTTTTGAGAATCACATTAATACTTATATTTTTCATATATTATGTGATATAGAATTTTATCTATAATTAGAAATGTAATTGAGTCAATGGTTTTTAAGGATCAATACTAACTCTCATCTACAGGTATCATGCCAGAAACCAAAGCAAATAATTATATCAAAAAAACCACTTACGCTCCTAAAAATAACAAAAGAACTCAACAAAAAAATAGCAACAGACAGTTCACTAGCTCTTTCGTTAAAACAAACGAACAACCTTTATTAGAAACTTCTTTTACAAATAATAAAAAACAAAAAATAACTACAGTAACTATGGAAACTTCTTCTCCAAAAATTATCAATGAAGTTATTGAAAATATTATCCTTACTACTGATAACAACACCCAAACACCCTCTGACACTAAAAAAAACAATACAATTAATACTTTTGATATGGAAATAGATAACGTTGCCCTTCGACTTCCAACTTTACTAATAAAGTACAAACGTTTCTCTCCAAACTACAAAGGACTCTATGCATGCAAAACAAACAAACAATACTGACAAATCAAAATCAACAAATACCTCTTCTATTTCTAAAGGGAAAAACAAACAAACTTGGTCAGAAGAAATGGACTAAGCTGAAGCTTCTACCTCTAACAGCAGAAACGCGAAGGATTAATAATTCAATATTATTACTGCGCCTACTAGATTTTACGTCACTGACAACGTGACAGATATAAAAGAAAAATCTATAGTTGAAAAATGCAACTTCATCAACGCACTTTTCATTCACTTTAATAGTTTCCAAGGATCAAACTATCTTTCTAAAAATAGAAAATTTATCATTTATTTTGAAAGTCTAGAAAGTCTTACACATGCTGTTACGAAAGTGCAAGAGATACAACATAACCTGATCTTTTTGATTGCTTATCCCAACGCCAAACAACTAAAATAGATGCAGAGAAAGGTCACACCATCAAAGTATTAGACATCCCCCTTTTTTTTAAGTTTGAAGTTGTATGAAATTTTTTTGCCAAATTTAGAATGATCACCCGTTTTCCTTGATTATCAGGGACCCTGACAAATCGCATTCATCATATACGAAAACAATGACGCTATCAAATAATTTTATAATGACATTTAGTCTGTTTTCTTTTTAGAATTCGCTTTAAGAGTAGAGCCTACTAACCTTGATCCAATTCAAACCACATTACGTCAACAATTCAAGCTTAAACTTACTGGTCTTTCACTAAATACTGATCAATGTTCCTTACAAGAATTATTAACTCAAATTAATGCCAAATCGTGTTTTATTTCAAGAGATCAACAATACCAACTAATACCTTACACGTTCATTAATTTCACTACTATAGAAGATCAAGACACTGCTGCCGCTCAACATCACAAATTTAAAGGAAATGTTTTATATTGAATGGACCCTGCTAACAAACATTGTAGGAAATGTGGATTACCTGATCATGAAATTAAAGATTGTTCTAAAAGAGACCCTTTTAATCCTTATAAGCCTCTTTATGAATGCTTTAAACCTGAACAATATAAACCCTCTCGTTCTCGTCAAAATTCAAAATTTCAGAACAATCTATCATACGCTGATGCTATCAGATCCAAGCTAATCATTAATAATACAACAACATTCCCTAAAGGAAACAATAACAGGCACTCCAATATTCCTTCTAACACTAATGCTATTCACTCCTTAATAGCCAGGATAGATGATATTGACAATAAACTTGTACATCTTTCTGATGAGATAATTTCCATTAAAAATGAAGTTCTTCAATAACATCGTAATCAAGGAGATATTAATTATTGTCTTTCTAGACTTAAGTTCTTTACAGAGATTCCTAACAATGACGAAGAAGATCTAACAATAGACATTACTAATAAACAAACTCAACATACACCAAAGAATACATTTACGAATGATAAACAATCCTTTGTAGTAGATACACCTAAAGAAACTGTCAACAATACTAAATTTAACAATAATGAAACACAATAAAATGACGACATTGCTACTCCTCGTATTACGCAAGTTGAAAATGAAATTGGAAATCTTAGATCTGAGCTTAAATCTATTTCACTAGCATTACGCTAAGCCTTATCTATGATTAACTTTTCCCAATGATCAATAATAACAAAACGTATAATATCGTAAGAACGACTTCGTCGTATCTTACTAATAACAGTAATTTTAATACAAATGCCCCTCTTTCTTCATTATATAATAATTCAAAATTTTTATCCATTGTTACCCATAATATGGGGCCTTTACAATAGAAAGGAGGAAACTCAAAAAAAATAAAAAATGAGTTAATAATAAATCTGAACAAATTATAGTATTTGAAACATTTTTG